ACTGAATTTCTTTTCTGATCCCACTAGAAACACTGCTTTTGAATATGATTTATGACACAGAGGGCACATCTACACAAGATATTTACTGCGCAGTAGACTAATTAGCTAAGTAAATGTCTCAGTGTCTAAACACGCAGCCCTATTAGGCTGCAAGAAACTAATACACTCTGCAGCTGGTTAGTACTTGTAAATACAAGTATTATCTTGCTGCAGAGTTTTTTCAAGTGCAGCAATACACATGCAGGTACTGACCCAGCTACCTGGGGCACAAGGGTGCTTCATGCAGGGGCTGCCTGCTGGCTAGCCCCACAGTGGAGTGCCCTCATGCCCCAGCCAGCCCCTCCAAAGCACGCTGAGCCAAGTTGGAGCACACCCAAGCTAGCAGACTGCCCCCTCCATAGGACTCCATCTCAGCTGGGGCTGCTCCGACCCAGCTCAAAGTGCTGTAGTCCCAGGTGCATTATCAAAAAGCGCACCCAGGAGCAAGAAGTCCGGTACAATATGCACTGGTGTTTACTGCTTTGATTTAACTACATGTGTAGACAAGCCCAGAAAAGAGTTATTCAGAGTGTTTTCATATATAGCAACTATTTGGGGATATAGATAGATTTAAGAAATAGTATGTGATTACTACTTATTTATAATCCTTTATTTGCTTAATATAGTCAGGTTTGTGATTAAACTGTTTAAGCCACTGGCTTTGTTGAAATTGTTTAACGTTCCTATGTGCATAGCTCTAAGAAATTCCCCAAATTCCAGTTTTTTAGACTTCAATCCATCAAAATGCTTGGATTGACAATGTAGATAGGTTTTAATAATTACAGTTACTCCCTTAATGTTGTTAGTTAATTTTCAAGAAATTGGTCACTAGTAATGAAACACAGCAAATTGATATGACAGAAAAAAGTCCTTATCCAGCTCTCTTCTGTAAACTAACTTTTTCAGGACTGGGACCATTCTTGTATAATGTATGTGTATTCTACATAGTACAATGATCATCTGTTTAGATTACCTGATTAGATCCTCTAGGCACCACCACAACACAAACAACAATAACTTTTTGTTATAAAACTATCCAATTCATGTGTAATAGCATAATTTGTTAATTTATAACATATATATCTAAATTCCTGTTAGGTCTAATTCTCAAATCGATCCACATTTCCTGTTGACATTTTCAAGGGTATTTCAGGTAGGAGGTAAGCTTGCACCTCAAACAAGTACAATAAACTTCTGGTAAAAATATGAAATGTAATCTGGGTGTGATATTTGAGCACCCAATTTCTGGTTCCCCACAGAAGGAATTTAGTAAAACTAGGGAGGATGTTGTGAAGGCCATGGCTAAAGTTAATAAGAAGCAAAACCTGCCCAATAAAGACTGTTATCTAGAAACAGACAGCAGGCTGTGACACATATATAATTAGAAAAATTGGAGGCTTTGCTCCTGGGACCATGTCTTCCAAGCAAATCCCATTTCCTTCATTCCCTTTCTCATGGTTATTGTAAGTGTAATCATTGCATGATTACAGTCCTTACGTATAACATATCAGTTTCTTTTTGTTCTTTCCAATATTGGTGTTAATTGAATTCATTGAACAAATGAGTGAAGAAATCCACAGCTCAGATCTTATCAGACAAGCTGACTAGCAAGTCAGAAACCATAGGAGAAAACCAAAAGATCAAGTTCTATATCACACATGCCAGTTTTCTTCACCTATTTTATTTATATATAAGTGAAGGCAATGAGAGTCGTAATCATTCTTTTACAATTTTATGATAAACATGTTTTCATCCGCCACGCTAATTAAACCACCCGCCTGCCACATACACTTCCAGGGCACATGTAGACATGCCCCATACTCTTTAGTTAATGCACATTAAGACAGGCTAATCCATATTTTCCATTAACTAAAATGTATCTCATGCATCAGCATTATGCATGTTCCCCCTCCCCCCCACTACTCCGGGGGGGGATCACACACCCCTTGGGCAGGTGCATTGCCACAGTGGTGATCTACCAGCCACAGGGGTTACATGGCAAACCCCTGCAGCTTGGAGACCTTCAGCTGAGTGGGCTCCCAACCATGAGAGCTTGGTTCTTTCCAGGATGCATGATGCTGATGCATGCGATATATTTTTAGCTAAAATGTATCGCATGCATCTCCATGATGAAAAATGGTGGCAGGGGCACTTTAACTAAAGCTCATTCAAGCTTTAGTTAAAGCGCCCCTGCTGCCATTTTTCACCACAGGGATGCTGATACACATGACGCTAGAGCAGGGGTGGGCAAAATGCGGCCCATAGGCCGGATGCGGCCCACCAGGCCATTCTATTTGTCCTGGAGGGCCCCTAAAAAATTTAGAAAAATAATATTTATCTGCCCCTGGCTGCCTGTCATGCGGCCCTTGATAGCTTGCCAAACCTCAGTGGCAAGCCCTCTGCCCAAAATAATTGCCCACCCCTGTGCTAGAGTCTGCTGGAGCATGGTAATTATCACGCTACAGAAAACTCAGATAAATTTACTTCTGTTAGTAAATAGAAGCATAGGTAGATACAATGTTATTAACTTATGGAAAGAGGGACTTAGGCAGAATATTAGACAACACCTCCTGACAGTGAGATCGGAGAGTATGGAAGAGTCTCTAGATATTAATGGTGAGAGCTCCATTGCTTGAGACAATTAAAATTGCATTGTAAAAAAAATAGAAAACATACTCTTGGGAACAATCATGCAGAGGCAATGAGATAGACTGGGTAACTTAACAGGTCTGTCTTTTCCCTCTTTTTCTTCTGTGATTCGTAACACTAAGGCTGATGAATATAACATGGGGAAAAGAAATAAGAGCAACTAATAAGCAACATACTCTAAAGACTACATTACTTACTTTACTGTCAGGTGCTAGAACAGAAAATGCAATGCAAAATAGTGCATAATACAATTATAAATTTCTAACGCTTGTATGACTGTTGTCTTTCCACTGTGTATCTTACTACTTTAACAATCTTTCAAATTGTTTTACCTTTTGAATCACTTGTCCCCTGTCGTGTGTCAATGATGGGTAGTTTGGTGCAACAGGAGAAAAATAGGATTGATGAATTGCGAGAAATAGTCAGATAATGAAAGGATGTCTCTTGTTTTCTCAAGATACCCTTGAAATGCAATTAATTTCTTTGTCAACAGAGACCTGAGACAGTACATGATATCAAGCAAGTGTGGGGAGGATTTAATAAGAAAGCGAAGTCAACAGAAACATTCTGCCAAACAGATTTTCAAATTTAAGTAAACTAAGTAATGCAAAGCAAGAATTTAAAGTAAAAAAAATAAAATCTTTAGAGACTAGAACCACTCCCTTAAATGGTCAGACATATCATCTGATTCCTGACTTAACTGGCTGAAACTAGAACTAGGCTGTTTAAATGGATGGATTTGCTTTCCTTTCACACTGTCCCTGTGACACAATAAATGTAATGTCACATAAGAATATTTAATGGTAGTGCTAAACAGAGAATTACTTTTATACAGAGATACGCTTACTTTTCATAGAATTTTACAAACTTTAAAACATTATTTTGTGTGTTAATATAACTGTTTTCTGCTACGCTGAACCATATGTTCTTTGCTTTTATCATTTCCTAGTAAAACATAAAAGAAAATAATCAAAAAGCATAAACTGGGTTATACAGTATGTTTGATGTAGCCATTTTTAACATTCATTTAATATAGTTGGGATGCAATGACTAATACTGCTTCTGTCCGCTAGTACAAAGCCCTAAATAAGGTTCCAGACTAGATTACATTCATGCAGGTCTCATTTTAACGGAAATTGGAGATATGAAAAAAAGATTATAGGAAGACACATTATAAGAACAGACCTCACAAGTCAAACTTAATAGTGAAACCATTCTCTTTCATGTAGACAACCGTGAAAACAAATATCCTGTAAGCTCTAGATATATATTGTATCTTTCCACCAGATCTCTTTGCCTCCTTGAGACAGATTCCCATTCATCTCATGACTATATAATTTGATCATAGTTGACTAAGGCACTGCAGGGGAAAGGGTCTGATAAAGTATCAGTCTCCAGGAAGACAGATAAACAATTTCATGATTCCTAGTTGTAACAAAGCTGGGATAGCAGTGGATATAAAGATATTACCCTAGTAAGAATAAAAATATCAAACTTGTGCATATGTTTTCTTCCCGTAATAAATAAATTATTTTCCATTAAGGGAAAAAGACAGTTTGATTATGATAAACTTCTTGAGACAGACTGTCAGGATAAAACACAAGGTATGTGATAAGTGGAATGAAAGCTTTGAATGATTAGCCAATACGAAGGTTGATACAGAACATTTTTTTCTTTAAAGTGATGAACAAAATGAAGACTAAGCAGCTTGTTTTCTGTACATGCATTTTTAATGCAAAATAACATTCCAAAAATAGTTTAATAAGTAAATTAGTTTACTTATATTATGCTTCGCAATCAGTTCCCTTTAATTCCTGGTTCACTCTGCATGATATCCATTCTTTTTAAAAGTGCCAGATTAATGCCTATTTATGACCTTACCTTACAGTCCCATGACGAATGACAACAGCCTTGAGTCTTAATAGTTGAAAGTTTATAACTATATTTGTAATACTCTGGTTTTATTTCCATGTACTTTAGCAGGTTCTGCTTGTTTTGTGAGGAAATAAATACATGCATGTAAATTTATTAAGGAAAGAATCCACAGACCAATTGTTACTTTGTAATATATTGTTACATTGGCAATTATTATATCCTAGTTAGTATATTTGTATGCATCTCCCAGCTTAACTAGTTGGAAAACAAATGGCGACACCTGTATTTACCCATTAAGAGTTATCTTTTGTAACAAGTATTAACTAAATACCCTTGAAGGGTTTTCATTTCCCTTTAGTCGTAAATAAGAAAATGCTTTTTGCTCTCCAGTAAGTAACTGTAAAGACATTATATCATTTCATTTAACTAGAACTTACCTGTGATTCTTTTATGTTTTCAACAGTGAAGTTGAACCAAACTCGAAAGCGTGGATTGCAGGTATCTGGCCTAATGAATAAATCATACTCAAATTCTGTGATGTGGTCCACACGTCCAAGGTTACCTGCCAAGAGAAGATGAAAAGGGAGTAGTGCTTTAATGAATGGAGGATGAACCCTACCGTGACAACTACAAATAATGGTATCTTAAAAATGCTTAACTGAGACTGGCTAATGTCAATCACATGATCATGAGATCAATTAGCCATACAACTCAATTCAGGACTTTTTCTCATACATGATTTCATCAGAGCCATGAAGAAAAATATATGAACAGGCCCAGCACATATGAATAAGTCAACAGAAAAAAAATAAGACTTTATAATGCAATCAGACTGAATTTTTTTTTTTTGTCATTTCTACCCCCAGTTCTTTATGTGAGTGCTTTCTCATCAACCCTTTTGCTACTCAAAATTCTCTCTCTGTCTTGGACTTGTTATTCCTCAATCACCCCTTTATATGGATTTCTTTCTTCCATGTGTTGCTGGTGTTCAGGGACTCATGGTACAAAAATTGTACTCATAATTCCTTCTTGCTCCCTCTTGCAAAGCTGAGGACTTCCCTCTGTCTCTATAGAGGTTTATGAACCCTTTTCTCTAGCTCTGGTGTTAAAAAGCTCTCCTGACATTTTTTCTTTCTACTGCCCATAACATGTTCTTCCTCCCCACCCTAATCCCATATAGCACCTCGCTCCCTCTTAGTATGAGGGGCTGTGGAATTTAGCTTGGGTTCCTTTCTGATTAGTTTCATGATATAATATTAAAAAATACAGCCAGAAGCAATTTTGTTCCCCATGGTATTTTTCAGTACAAAACGAAAGCAAGCAAGCAACCCATCAGGCCATCTCAGCTAAAGAGGAATGAAGTTCTGTGCTGGAGAAACTTGCTGAAATGCTTTTAAATTGTTAAACTGGCATTTTTCCTTTGAAGTGCTGCAGCAAGTTTCAAAGACAGATGGCTTGTCTGTCCATCTAATTTTTATCTTACAAAAATAAGAGCCTTTATATCTTCCTGTTTTCTACTCCCACCCATCTCATCAAATTTTGTAATTAATAAGCCAACCCCACATTTTCACCCTAAGACAAATTAAAATGTTAGTTATAAACAAAAGTATCACTAGAGGTTTATCTTATTCCTTTATGAATTCAAGCACATTTTTAGATGTTTGGGTTCAGATTACTATAACTTTACTCAAAATGATTAGCAATTTCTGCTCAGGTACTCCCTGTTTAAATTAATGGGATTATTTTTGGAATAATATGATAACCAATATGAATGAAAGTATCAAACTCTGATCTATAGTTTGCCACGGGAGAATGTGTATTGTGGAAATGACATATTTCAGCAGTGCTCATCAATACAGCCTCTTCTGCCTCATCTTGAGTTGCTTCTGACTTTACTAATTGAACATGGAACATTTCTCATTTTACATATTTTAAAAGTTATTTTCTTTCCTTCCTGCCCACCTTCTACTTTTCAGAGCTGATTGTCATTGCAGAGATCCGTTACTTGCAAACAATCTGTTCCTATATTATCCTACTGGATAAATTATGAATTAAAATATAATTATAAAAATTGGAATATATTGTATAACTTAAGTAATCCACATGACTTGTGGTTATCTCCCCTCTCCAGCTAGGTGTCTTTCCTTCTTTGGGCCCAATTCTGCTACTGTTGCTCACAATGGAAATGTGTGTAATTCACAAAGGGCATGTCTACATGAGATGCTTTACTGTGCAGTAGACTAACTAGCGTCTACATGAGCATACCATTTACTGCATAGTAGATTAGTCTACTGTGTAGTTAGACACAACCTGTAAATACAGGTAGTAAACTAACTGTGTACTAGATAACATGCAGTAGCACGTGTAGATGCTGGTCAGAAGCAAATTTGTTCCTGTTCATCCCAGCACTAGGGGGCCACAGGGAATGGGGAAGTCCCCCAGTCCTAGCACTATTCAGCTCCTAGCTCCCCCCAAAAGCTGGGAGCTGAGCAGCACCTAGATGAGTTCTCTGCCCACCTCTGTCCCAGTTCTACTCAGCTCCCAGCTCCCCGCAAGAGCCAGGAACCAAGCAGTGCCAAACAAAAAAAAGTGAAGCAGCGCACGGAGGGGCAGCACACACCTCCCAAAACTGGAGGATGGCCAGCCGTAGCCACCCTCTGGCTGCAACCCCAGGAGGCCCTCAGGGCTCCAGGTAAGGCTTCTGGAGCCAACCCAGTGCTGGACCCTGCCTCCCTTACCCCACCTGGGGTAACCTGCTGTGCATGGCACAGACATTCCCCAGGGTCAAGTAGCAGCAGCACAAGGGTAACAAATGTTCACACTCATGTGGATGTGGCCATTGGCAGCATATTTGCTCCCAGCAAGGAGCATGTGTAGATGTGCTCCCACAGGAGGCTTACTACACAGTACTTTACTGCACAGTAAGCCTTTATAGCATTAATAGCATGTGTAGACATGACCAAAGAGTCTTAGGTTGGCATTGGTGAGCACATGACCACCTAACGTTTGGGCACCAGATACAGAATTCATAAACCTGAGTTAAGCCCCCAAATTCCATGTCTTGACATGGAAAGGCTCAGACACCTCAGAATGGCCTTCATAACAGCCAGGATTTGATACTTAAGCCAGCCAAGAAAGAACATGGGATAGAGAACTATGTCCAAAATCCCAACCCCCTTCCAGACTTAGGTGACAAGCAACAGCCCTCAATTAACCACCTATGTGAGACAGGGATCCACAGCCTGAAATCTCCACTTAGACCTATAAACCAAGTTTTCCAAAAAAACTGGTTCAACTTTTTTTTTTTCAGATGCTGGTGGTAGTGCTGGTGAGTTTAGCAACTGTGTAGCTAAGAATGTAAAAGTCTTGGGGCCAGGAGAACAAGGAACAGGGAGCCTGACACTGTCATCCAGTGATAAGAGCAGTCTTCTCTGACTGGGAAAACCTATGTTCCAGTCCCTACTGCCAGGATTATTCATGCTTTTTACATTAGACAGTCAATAGATAAAAATTAAGACTAGCTCTGGGAACATAAACTAGACCCCAGGTCCCCTTTTCTTACCTCACTTTCTCAAGCACTAAAATATATGGTCAGGTTCTCTCTTGCTTGTTCTCCTTCTGGCCCACCATAACAGCCCAGTTTCTTCCACAGAAAAAATGGAGGGTACCCACATACAAACTATCCTATAGATTGCTAGTTAGGGCACTCTTCTGGGGATGTGGGTTTGAATCCCTTCAGCCTAAGGAAAGTTATAAATCAGATCTCCCACTTCTGAAGATGGGCACCATCACCGATCATATTTTTTGCTGAACTAACATACCTATGATCTAGGTAAGCTCCAAGCATGCCTAACATATCAGGCCCCTCTGGGAATTTAGGCACATGGTATCACCAATCTGGACCACAGTGTACTTAGATAGGAACTAGATATCTGGAGGTCTAGAGATCAAACTAGATTGATTTGTCAGTCAGAAGCCCAAGGGTAGACAACTTGGGAACTCTGCAATCCAGAATGGAAATGTCAAGTAAACTTTGGCGCCTACCATATTTTGCAGCTGAGCGAGTAGGTCCCATCAGGATCACTCTTTGCAACTTAAGTTCTCCATAAATTTCCACTTAGGCACCTACAGAACCAATCTGGATGTAGCCCCTAAGCCCTTTTGTGAATCTCATCCTAAGCTGCTAGTCATTGCAAATAAGAGTGGTGATATACTAGGTTCCAAGACCGCCTGCTCTTTACTTAAAGAATCTCATTTTCTTGTGTTTGTTTCTAAAATACTGTGCACAATAGGCACCCTAGAAATAATAGTATTCTCCACTTGTTTTACGCACATAACTCCCACTGATATCAATGGCAATTTCATGTACAGAATGAGTCATCTGCAGCACAGACTGGAGACAATTTTGGCTGCATTAATTTCAAATAAGGGAATAGGAGCTGAATTCTGAGGCATAAGTTCAAAGATCATAAAAGTATTATATAGTAAGATATGGGGCAGGAACATAAGAGTTTACTAAGAGAATAAAAAGTCTGTATAAATCAAAATATACAAAGCAAAATGGTATCTTTCTAACCAACTGCATATTTCAGTTTCAGTATCAGACTACTAATTGACCTGAACTCAAAGGGGACAGACCCTCATTCCACATACGTCTTTGCACTACTTTGACAATGCAAAGAGGCTGTAAAGATCCCTAAACCAGCATCTGGGGAGTCCTCTAGTGTTGGTGAAACTCTTGCTGATACAAAGCTGGTATGCTGGAACTATTATAGTAATTTAATCCTTTCTACAATTGAACCCCTCCTTCAAGATCACTGTTTTCCAAGTTTCTTGTTCTCACTGAATATTTGTGTATGAGATGCCTTAGTTTTCACTACTGCAACTAGAATCTCATCTTATCATGTCTTGCCTATGGTACTAACTGGGCACATCTACACAAGATGCTAACTACGCACACAGTAGTCGAATAATACTGCACAGTATCATGTCACAGCACCAACAGTGGTACAGTAGACCCCTGTTTTACATGTATTCGACTTACCTTATTTGCATTTACACAAATTAATATTAACACCTAAGCAGAAAAATACATCCCCAGATGCACGTCATTCGTGTATATATGCGTATATACGTGAACGCCTTGCGAGATGCACAGACTGAGTCAAATGGAGTTACATGCAGCTTGGGTTCCCAAGCAGGATTCTGGAGGCTCGCTCAGTCTCAGTGTCGCCATTGTGGTAGCAGCATATGTTTAGAATATGTTTTTGTAACATAATAAATAAAGTATTGGTTGAAAAAGGTTTTATTTTGGTACCTTTGGTGTCATAAATGTGAAATCTAAGGAATGCAACCCCTCACTTTTCTATTATTTCCTATGGGAAAATTCACCACAAGTTGTGCAAATTCGACATACGCAAGGTTTCTCAGAAACACAATATACGCATAAGTCGGGAGTCTACTGTAATGTGCTACTGTGCAGTAGCATCACTTAGAAGGTGTTCATTGGCACAACTGTGCAGTAACTCTGATTACTGAGCATTTATTTCATACTTGATTATA